CATACACACATAAATCCATAGAGCTGAGATCGCTCCGTAACTGGCAGCCGAATGTGTGAACTGACTTGGTTGTGAAAAGTACAGCATTTGGAGTGTGGTGTGACATGAGGCAGTGTGAAAGTGATAACTAAGAATGTGTCAGTTTACAAAATGGCCATTTTTTTTTTCTCGGAACCCGTCAGTAAACTCTGTGAGATGTATGCAAATAGTTGCTGTTGTTTTTAAAGCACTTGAAACACAGGGAAAGCTATCCCTGATCTGAATAGCCGGGCTAGGCCAGTCTTGACAGATTTCAGTAGCTGAGCAGGGTTGACCCTGGTTAGTATTTGGATGAGAGACTACCACGGAATACCGGGGTGCTACGCAGAAGCAGGCAATGGCAAACCGCCTCTGAATGGCTCTTGCCTTGAAAACTCTAGGGGGTCACCAGAAGTCGGTTATGACTCAACGGCTAAAAAAAGCTCCTTCGCAAAAACTGTGCCGAGTAGATCAATATTGCACCCATTTTAAAGAGTCAGAAAATGAGGCTCAGAAAACAGATGCAGTTTAATCTGGATCAAACTTGGTGGGCACAGCAAAGTTAGCTACAACCAGTCTTGAACAGTAAGGGTATAAATTGAAGTAAGGGTATAAATTGAACTCAGTGGGATTGATTCCTGAGGAAATATTCCAAGGGGTTTCTGCACTGGTTATTTGCCCTGGGTTTGATGCTGTTTGGATGTGCATTTCCCCCCCTGCTTCCCCACAGCATCCTGGTGTATTCATGCACCTTCAGGGCTTTTCTCCAATGTTTCTCAAACCTGCTTCACTCTGAAGTTTTGGGAAAGATCATAACGAAGTCTGGATAGTTGCTGTGTGGGTGGAAAAATTCGGATTTTCCCGGTCCCACTCATGCAGCAGCCGTTTGCCCTGCTGGTAGCCATTTCCTCTCCACACTGCAGATGGGTTTTTTCCAACTGCCCACTGAAAAATCAGCCATCTTTGTTACAGAGATATGCTTCATTCAGTGTAGAGCCAGTTTGGTGTAGTGGTTAAGTGTGTAGACTCTAATCTGGGAGAACCAGGTTTGATTCCCCACTCCTCCACTTGCAGCTGCTGGATGACCTTGGGTAAGCCATAATTCTGGCACAGCTGTCCTTGAAAGAGCAGTTTCTGTCAAGAGCTCTCTCAGCCCCACCTACCTCACAGGGTGTCTGTTGTGGGGAGGGGAAGGAGTTTGTAAGCCGCTCTGAGACTCCGGGTGAAGGGCGGGGTATAAATCCAATCTCTTCTTCTTCTCTTCTTCTTTCACGTATCTCTGCAAGGAAGAGGCTAGAGACTTACTTCTTTAAAAAAATGAAAGCTGGGAATTCAGAAAACTCAATGCATATTTTGGTATAACTATACGTTGGTATAACATTATTAAATCACCATTTAAAAAAAAAAAACAGTACCAGGGAAACCTGCTACGTGGAAGCCCTGTTGGCTGCTCTGCTTTGTTAGCTGCCACAGCTGCAAGAGGGAAACTACACAAGCCTGGCCTTGTGTGGAAAACACTCTGGCCTAACGTCCCCTCAGGATGTCAATCATAATAAACTTTGCTGGATTGTGCCCGGTGCATTTAAGACAAAACGCTCTTGTGTGGAGCATCCAGACTACTTGTCTCCTGGAAATTAATACGCAAAGCTGGGTTAAATCCAAGCCGCTCAGATCCCCTGGGTTTCTTGGGGAACTTAAAAAACTCTCAAAGCACCAGGGGCTCAATTTAATAACAGAAGAATTGCCTTCACGGAGACAGACCCAAGGCCCACACAGGCCCAGCTAGAGGAGGGGCTGTGGCCAATGCTCCCTCTAAGCCATGAAGATTTGTGAGCAAAAATTCTACTTTGTGAACTACTGGCATTAAAGTTGCGAGCGAGCGATTTGGCTGCTGCATAAATGAGTTTGCTCTGGAGCCATTCTTCCCGAGCGAAGACAAAAATTTATGTGCTGGAGGCTAAAAAACTGTGAGATAGCTCACACTAGCTCAGCTTAGAGGGAATGCTGGCTGTGGCTTAGTGGAAGAGACCTGTTGTTGTGTGCAGAAAGTCCCAGGTTTCAATCCCTGGCAGCTCTAGTTTACACAGAAGAGGAGATTGGATTTATACCCCACCCTTCACTACCCAAGGGAGTTTCAGAGCAGCTTACAAACTCCTTTCCCTTCCCCTCCCCACAACAGACACCCTGTGGGGTAGGTGGGGTTGAGAGAGCTCTGACAGAAACTGCTCTTTTTTAAGAACAGCTCTTATCAGAACTATGGCTTGCCCAAGGTCATCCAGCCAGGTGCAAGTGGAGGAGTGGGGAATCAAACCCAGTTCTCCCAGATTAGAGTCCGCGCACTTAACCACGACACCAAACAGGAAAGACCCTGGAGAGTCCCTGTATGGAGGCATCAGAGCTAGATGGGCCAATTGTCTGACTGGATCAGTCAGCTTCATATGTTCACATCCCTGGGAAATTCACAAGAAGGGCATCATGCCACCTCTCCTTAATTATTGCTGGCTTCCCACAGGCAGCCTCTCCACTCCTTCGTATGGATATCCCATTCATCATAGCTAATAGCCATTGAGAAATCTATTCTACATGAATCGGCGTAATCCCGTTTTTTAAAAAACAGCAGAGCAAGTTGCCATCATTGGATCTCAGGGCAAGAACTTCGGTAATAAGTTGACTGGGTGCTGCATGAAGAAGTCATTTATCAGCCAGACGCTGGATCCTCCCCACCCCCCACCTGCCCGCCTCCAGTTCTAGAGAGCACAAAGTTTTCTCTGCCCACTTACCCCACACTGTTCCCATTTGTATAAACCTCTGTCATGTCCCCTCGCAGAGTTGTCTTTTTTTATACCCCAAACATGCAAGCCGGCGCTAAACTCCGGCATCTATTTTCGGTTCCCAGACTCCACACGGAGATATATGGAGCCGTAATAAAAGAGGGACCGCCTTGAACAAATGCTGTGTTCTTTTTCTTTTTTAAATGTGGATCACACCAGCCTGCAACAAAGAAATAAGAGGTTCTGAGCCTTTGCAGAATGCAGTGCTTCATCTGACTGGGGTCCAGTAGAAAGGGAAGGTCCCCAAAAGAGCACCGCGGGGAGAGCAGCTACCTGCTGAAGGTGCAGAGGCAAATTTATTCATAATTAAAAGAAACTGATGTGTTCAGCCTGGACCACAGATGGCTCTTTCTCGGTGGAATTATGTATATTTATAAGGTACGCTCTGGGGTGTGTGTGTGTGTGTGAGTACACCGTGTGGATACTGCCACACAGGATTTGTTAATCTAAATCAGTGAATCAGATTGGGAATGCGTTTTTCAGTACAATCAGGGACGGATTGGGACATCCAGTGACCCAAGAGCAAGCTACGTGACCCATAACAACATTGGTGACACAGCTGCCAGTTCTGGGTTGGGAAATACCTGGATATTTAGAGGGAGGAGCCTGGGGAGGGACCCGTAGAGTTCACCCTTCAAAGCAGCCGTTTCCTCCAAGAGAACTGACTGTGGTAACCTGGAGATCAGTTGTAATAGCAGGAAATCACCAGGTGCCACCTGGAGGTTGGCAACTGCAACTGACAGTGCCACAACCCCCTGCTCCTGGTGCCAGCGTCGCCTGCCCCGTAATGCTGTGAGGTTTCGTTCATCCTGGTCCTGGCCATAAGTTGCCTTCCAAGGCCATCACCCACTGGGGAACATTCCCAGTAGGGGCCAATCTGCCCTCGGCTATCAGGAGTGGTCTTGGTACCCTGCCCTGCCCTGGAGAGTCCAGCCTAGCCCGATCTCATCACCTCTCAAAAAGCTAAGCAGGGTCGGCCCTGGGGAATGGGAGACCTCCCAGGAATACCAGGGTCGTGCAGCAGAGGCAGGCAGTGGCCAACCACACCTGATCATCTCTGCCTTGACTTGATGGCATCAGCAACAACCCTTCTGTACCCTGTGAACTGACTCTGAGCAGGTGCAGCATCCCTTCCTTCCAGCTCTGTAACTACACCCCTAGGAACAGGGTTGTCAACTCTCAGCTACGAAATACCTGGAGATTTGGGGGTGGAACTTGGAGAGGACCCCGAGCAAAGGCATAATGCCACACCGTCCACCCTCCAAAGCTGTCCTCTCCAGGGGAGCTGATCCCGGTCACCTGGAGATCAGCTGCAATTGGGGGGGGGTGTCTCCAGGTGCTACCTGGAAGTTGGCAACCATATCTAGGAAGGAGAGGAGAGGCGGTCAGAAGACGGAGTTACAACCGGGCTTCCGCCCTCAGCCCCCGACCCCATTTTTGGCAACTCTGCCAGAGGAGCTCCCC